CACTCACCACGACCAGGGCAATGCCGTCCTGTGGTGGCATCAAGACCATTATCCAAGGTGGATGAGATACCTCTAGCAGTGTAGCTATGGGAATGTGGAGCTCTGTACAGGCTGCAATACTCACATTGGTAGGTTTGGGGCATTTTCATGGATACCCTGCTAGCTGCATCCAAATTAGCTAGTTTGACATTAGTGTAAGAGTGGAGACCTAAGCACCCAGGCAGAGACTGCAGTCATTTTTGACTGCAGTGTTGGCATCTCTTTAGTGTATTTGAACACGGGCATGAGCTTCAGGCAAAGGAAGCAATGCTGAATACTACAATAGAGATGAAGGAAGGTGTCATATCATGCTGTCTTCAGAAATCATATTCTTTGTGAGGATATGAACTGCTTAACAGCAAGGTACGTGGATCAGAGATAAAGTGATTTTTCCTGCATTGTGAAATCAGTAGAGTTTTTCATAGCCATGCATTTTACCAGAATAAAGGATTTTTTTTGTCTTTTTTTGGTGTCAATACATAATCCTGGAAGGATGTGGAAGGTCACAATATGCTTCATTTTGGATCTTCTCCTTGCTATAAAGCATGTGACTGTAGCTACATGTAAGCATCTATACTTACAGTAAATATCTTAGCAGGCAAGCTGAGCATTTTGAGAAGAGTTATTTGACCTCAGGATGTTTGATAATTCTTATGACCATATGTGAACCTATGACCTAAGTCTTGTTATAGATATAGATAGACATCACTACTGAACTACAGGTGGTCTAGTTTTTGTTCTGTGAAATCTTGCATCAAGATCTAAGAGAATATAGATACTTCAATGTTATATTGCATTGTGGCTATATTTTATACTTCTATCCATATTATAAGCTCTCTGGAGCAGAAATGATTTTGCTGGTCTGTGTGCGCATGAGACCTTCCACAATTCTTCCTGCCCCCTTTGCCTGTACAATACAAACAATAACTACCAATCCTCTCCATGGCAAGCCCTCAAAGCCCGTCACAAAGGTGGCCATGTGTTTTGCTAATATCACTGCGCAGCTAGAGAACAGATGAGAGATTAAAGGCAACGCTCCCAAAGGTGGCTATCTAGAATTTTCATTTAGCCTCAATGTCTGTAGCGTGCTATTCAGAGGTAGTCAGCACTGAGATGCCAGTAGGTGCCCTCAACCTCCAGTAACTGTTGGGCTGATGTTAAAGTCTTCATTTTATTCCTCAAAGGGACAGGCAATACAGCGGCAGCAGCTACTCCCAGAGCTGCTCCACCAGTATTGGTGTCTATTATCACCAGCAAGACAACACTCTGGGTCACTTTGCCTTTGGGACTTTTGTTCCTTTTCTTAGATTGCTGACAAGCATCTCTTAGTGCTGATTGCTGCGGATGTCATCCGCTCAGGATTGGCACGAGGTCAACATGCAACTGTCTGTGCGCTGGGTGCTAGAACTGCTATTGCAGACAATGGAGATCTAGTCCGGGGAGTCTACAGAGCAATTGAGCTGACTAGCCAACAGAAGCAGGGTGAGGTTGCCTATGTTTGTAACTCTTTCCAATTCCCTTGAGTATCCAGGACATCTGAAAGAACAGGCAGATATGACAAATGTCCTAGGGAGTCCCGAGGCCTCTTTTGCAGTGGCGGCTGGAGGCCAGGCAGGATACCCTCAGCACATAAAATGGTACTTGCTGCTCTGGTTTAGGTAACTACATCTTGCCCCAGATGTGTGTTTCAGAGTGAGCCCTGTTATTGCAAAGCCAGATCTCTTCCCACAGGTGAACTGTCTCATCTTTTCAGGCTGTTTTGCTATGTTACCGAGCCTGAAACTGTTTGTACCTTATAAACTTTACACTTCTAACACAAGAATATTGAAAAAGCAACCTCATAAGAAGGCTAATGAAATGTTCCTGTTTTCTTCTTTCCCTTGACTTCCTTATGTGTCTTGATTAGTTTTGATTCTACATTATCTGAGCCCAGGACTGTGTCAGTGACTTATGCTCTGTACAGCTTATGCTTGAAGGCTTGTATGTTGCTATTGCCCTATGTTTTCTGTTTAAATGCATCATTATTCTTCCTGCTAAAATTGACTGACAGGTTGGAATTAAATGAAACTTCCAGTCTTCTGTGTGATGTTAGGTCTGAAAGAGGCTGCTCCAAGGCAGAACTTCAACTTTATTTGATTTGAACTTACATTGCAGGATATGTTTGAACCCTTGAAAACATATGTCAGAGGACTCAGTTGACAGGATTTGCCAGAAGAGAAAATTAGCTAGATGTAGGCAAAGCTAGATAGGTGCCACATAATCAGATCAGCCCCAAAGGAACCAACAGCTAAGCATGATCTTCGTTTCTGGTAATTTTGATGAGCCCACACTAAAAGCATGTGTCCGTAAAGTAGTATATCTCCATAAAATCCTAGACTTTATGGTCTGGAAGCTTTAACTCATGTCTGAGCAACACCCTACATTGATTATTACAATTCTTTGTGTGTCATCTTGCCATCTGCCTGCTTAGAGAAATTACAGTCCTGTTGAATTCTCCTGCCAGCACCCTGAATCACACTAAGACATATGAGAATACCTGGGAGTTTTCCTGCATGACTGATGCTGAGATGATTTTTCAAATAACAATCAAGGTCGCGTGTCAGTTTGAGCTGCCTTACACCTCACATTCACAGTCTCATAGAAATCTCGTTGTTTCCATACTGTTTGTACTTCCCCCTTTCTTACTGTGTATTGCCAACAGGCAGCAATAGCACAACAGATGATAGCCATGACAGGCTGACTTTATAGGAACTAAGTACAGGTATTAACTTGTTGCCAGCTGTGGTGACACCTCTTTCCAGCAAATCACATAGCAAAGTAGGGAATTTACAGAATGATCAAAGTTGGAGACTGACTGGACTACTGCTACTGGCCTAACAACCAAGGATGAAGGCTTGAAATCCATGGATGAAAGCTTATGTGCTTTGGTATCATGCCAGTATTGCCACATTTCCCCAATGGGAAAGCTGACTTACTGCATACTCCAGAGCTCAATGAGTATCTAGTCAGCCACTTGCGTGCCTATGTTGTGCATGTTTTCAGAAAATTGTGTAATAAAACAGTGGGCATGCAGTAGGCACAGGTTTCTCTTTTAAAAATTAGTTTATTAATGTCTAACCCCACCTTCCCAATGTTTTATTATTGTTGTCTTACCAACTGGGCTTTGTTATCATCAAACAACAGATTTACTATCACCTGACCTCACTTGACAAATCTCACCTCAAGAAAACTTACGTAATAAGTACTATGTCTGGGCTACAGGCAAGTCATATCCTTTGGTCCAGTTTTGCTGACATGGAAAAGTTTTTTCAGTTCCACTAAGAGTGTTAAATCAAATTATTTAAATGAGTGTAAACATCATAAGCATCGAATTTCTACTGGTTATCCTCTGTCACAGGCATATGTTACCCATAACGTTAATATTTCACCCCTGGGAAATCAGATTTTCAGCCTCTAGGTCTGCCTCGTAGACCTGATAATTTCAGTGTAGCAGGGGAGGGGTTAGGGATTTAAGTGAGTCACATAAATTAAACTGAAAAAAGTCGGAGTGCATGCCTAGCTATATGAAGGAGCTAGACTGGTTTAAAATTCACAGGTCACCCAGTGAAACTTTCTCACATGGACAAGCTGTTACTGTCAAGAAACCAGAAGACTGTCACGTTCTCACTCCTTGAGGTCTATACTTAGTAAGGCAGCTGGGGATGTCCACTGTGCTCCCTCTTCTGAGTAGATGCAGAATTTCACGATGAAAGATAAGCGGCCTTTTGAGGTTTCTTTGCAAAGATTGTTGATATGGTATCTAATAGTCAGATGTGAAATGTTTGTAGAGTTTTCAAAGCAAGTGCTCATTTTCAAGCATTCAAGTGAGATGTTTTTCAAACTAACACTTATGTGTTTCTGTCTTGCAAATCATAAGATAATCTTATTCTTGTGTGATCTAATTTAGTGCTTAAGACAAAGTGGTTTTCTTTGTCTTTTCTGGGCACACTTAGCCTCCTGCTGCCTGCTGCCTATACATGCTTGCTAGTCAGTTGGACTTACCAAGCACAAGGATTTTGTAAGCCTTTATCTAAAAAGATCTTTTGCACTTTGGCCAGGGCTCCAAGGGGTAGGGTGACAAACAGGATTCACACGTTGCAACATTCAGCATTGCCACATTCAGCATTGCAATATTTAATTTCTAGGCATCATGCCTAGTACAGTGCACAATCTCAGGTGAAGTATCCAGCTGTTGGGAAGGAGTCTCATTGCTCTTACCTTCTCTTTCTTACTCCCATACTCCCACATTGGATTTTTTCCCTGTCTTACCTCTCTTGGACTGTTATGTTCTGGCCAATTTCTGCTCCATGAATGCTGTTTTCTCATCCTCCGCTTGCCTTCCTGGCCTGCTGGAGAGCCTGGAGGGAGCCCCTGCAGCAAGGTGCTGAAAGGGAAAGGTGGCATTGGAAGGCCTCCGTCTCATCCCTGCCTTTTAGCAGGAATATGGGAGAAATGCTGCTGCTTCCCTGAGGCTGCAGCCTTGAGCACAGCTTGTGAAGAGCTGCTAGTGGCTGCCTGCTAAAGATGGTGTCCATGAAATCAGATTACTGGCACCACGGTATGTGCTGGGTGGGCTGCCCTGGTTGCTGCTGGGCTCCCGCAGCTGGAGGTAGCTTGGTCGCTGGTCAAGAGCACTCCTCCAGCATGTAACAAGTGACTTTTATAGAGCAGAGAATTGAATTTAGGCTTCCTGCCTCTCTAGAGGCTGTTTATCATGGAGCCGTGTGCAGTCTGGGGTGGCTTTCGCTATCTAGTCTCTGCAGTAATAGCACGTACTCAAATAATTATTAATGTAGGGAGCAGGATACTATGTGAGAGGCATAATTGCTGGGCTGTGGAATAACTTTTTTCAACTTTTCTTTCTCTGGCTCAGTATGATTAATTATATTAAACTAATACAGATTTTAACCCTTTCACTACAGGTATACCTTGCATGTACTGTTTTACAGGTAAGGTTTCTTTATTCTTGTGAGGAAACTTCAAGTTAATTGTTATTTGCATCTGTATTTGTCCTGACAACTGATATTTATATCAGTACAGAAAGAAGAATTATGCCCTAGACAGTGGCGGGGATGTGAAACAACTGTCACATGCCAACAGCCACAGAAAAATTACTCATTTTACTGTAGGTAATAATATTGCTGTGATATTTTTTCATATCAGATTGCCAGAAAAAAATTGTTTGCATTAAGTTACATTGCCATATTTTATTTCTTCTTTTAAATTAATGCTTGAATTACATCATTGACTTAAAATAATTGTAGGATAGAGTGGAAAAAAATCATATTATATTAGTGGAGTTTTAGTCACCTATTTCTAGGCAAAAGTTGCAGAGGAGCAGCTTTTTCACCTATGAAGACAGTCAGGTGCCTAGAGAGGTTCAGATATGCAACTCTGATATTCTGCCTTGACAGCTTAACAGCACATACCATTTCTGCATGTACCATGAGTAACAAATTATTCTGAATGGGCCTACTTTAGAGAAAGAAAGCAGGAAAATAAGTGGTTTCAGAGTGTGCACATGTTCACTTCCAGAGAACATTTCCTCAGTAAGCTGAGCAGGAATTGCCTGCTCATTTCTGTAGACTGCAAGTTTCTTAGAGAAGTAGTCATAGGTCTTCTGTAGCTCTATGCTTTTCTGTGCCTGAGGAACCACGTACTGTCCTAGATAGCACTGAATAAAAAAACCAAATTCACTTCAATATGAAGTTTAGTAGAGTCAAAACTGCTACTGCATTATCCAGTTCACCTCTTTCCACGTAAGAGTGCCACTGATAGGAATCTGCTTTTAATTACGACAGTGGTTAAAATGTTAGCATACTACAGTGATTAAAACATCTCAAGCTATAGCTTGAGAATCCACATTTTTGCTCACCATAAGGGTAAAAAAGTGGGCATTTTCTGCAAAGGTAGGGTACACACTTTTTTGTTCACTGAAAACATTTTACTGCTTGTTTAGTATTTTCTTCCATGTAGCAGAAAAAGGACATGACTGTAATCATTCAGGATGGACTCATAAAGCAGTGTGTCATTTCTGTTGCTAAGCCAGAGCTTCTATAATTTTACGTCTCTGTTTAAATGCAGCATGTCAGAATGGATATTTTCTCTTAAAAGGACCTGGCACTTACGATTTGGGCTGGCCTTTAAATGCCAAACCTGTTGGCTGTCATATGAACTCTGTCATTATCTTTATTGCAAAGGAAGGCCTATATTCAAATTCAGCATTCATTTATTACTTTATAAAGGTGGGTTACTTTAAAGGGAGATGGAGTGATTTTAAGTAATAGACCAATAAAGCGGTATCAGAACAATCTAGTACTGAGGTCCTCAGACCAGAGAAAATAAGGTCTGGTTTCCTTCCCCCTCTCATATCTTTCCATATAATCTTAGCAAATCACTTAGTTCAAAGATATTTGGGATGTTTAAGTCCCTTTAACTCCCCTAAATATAGATCAGATTAGAGCCCTTCGGTATTTCAGAGGAATATTGCAAAGATAAATTTTAGAGGTGCTCTGAAACTAGAGGTGTTCAGGTGCGTACGTCCCATTGAAGTCAGTAGTTTCTCAATAATGGGTTATTCACAAAACTTGCCTAGAAAAAAATAGCTCCATGAGCTGAGTTGCTGTTTAAATGACAGTGGTCTTTGTGGTCATACAAAGAGGCTCCATGGTCCAAACCTTTCTCTTAGTCTGGAAAGAAAAGGACATTGAGTAACCCTACAAAAATCTAGTTTGTGCAACTGATTGGGTGGTAAAACAGTGACTGATAACAGCGATTTCATTCACATCATGATAACAATGATATCGTTCACATCATCCTTTACCCCCCAGCCCAACTGTTTTCCCCAATTAGCATGAATTATAGGTCTCTGGCACTAAATCTAATTCTTGTGATTCTATGGAATTGAAAGGCTTTCTGAGTTTATGCTAGAGGCAAATTTAGTACCTGAAATCATTAGAGGCAGATGACAATGTTTTATTATGAACTGCCTGTGGCACTGGCTAGGAAGGCAGAGGTGGGGGTTAGTGAGTTTTTTTTGCACCTATTGGTCAAAGCACACTGGAAAGAGAGATATACAATGATCATTTATAATATGTTTTCTAGCTGGCTTATTTGAAAGGCTGGAATTCTTCAGCCTGAGATCCTGAATTCTGAAGGCTGAGATACAAAGGCTGAATTGACTTTGGTCATCATGTCCGGGACTTAAAATTCAGACAGTTTATTCATTGCTACAGTTCTGGAAATTCTTTTGGTGCAAGCGCTTTTTCCTCTGAACAAGTCTTGTCTCATGGCACAGTTTCTGAACTTCTTTCCTGAAACAACAGAGATCTGAGAGAGATTATTCAAGTGAGTCATTTGGGGATGATTCTTTAGAAAACAAAGAACTTTCTTACTGGCTAAAACCTCAGAATTTGGAAGTCTCCAAACACACCCTTGCAGCATGGGATGTTGGATTTTCATTTCTGGCTTTTCAGACAGGGAGACAATCTGTTCTTCCTTTCTGCAAATAGATGAGAGTTTTCACTATGCTAACATGTGGAAACACCTCAGTTGTTCCAGATACTATCATCACAAAAATTGGAAGGAACAAGTCATGAATTCTTGCTTTTGTAATTTGGCAGGTTCCATGTCTCTGTCCTCAAATCAGAGGGAATCTAAAGCAAAAGCAAAAGCAAACCCTCACAGTATCACACATGACCAAAAGCAAATTTTACAAGAACAATGTACAGAACTTGCTTGTTCAGTGTGGTCTCTAAATCTGACATCTCACCTTTGGGTTTTTGTTTTAAGACATGACCAATAGCAATAATAAAAAGTAGCTTGTGGTCGTAGCAGAAGTGATTAAGGCATTGCATTGCTACTGTCTTGCCACAATATGTCAGTATAGTCCCATGCATTGTTCAGCCACTCTTCTCTATAGTTCTCTGGGAGTTTTTTTGGAAAATGTTGCCCTGGGATTTGGGATTTTTCTGTTGTTCTTTTCTGCCTTGTTTTTTTCCATCTGTAGAGAAATATCTATGTGCACTGAGTAGAAATGTATTTCTCCCAAGAAAACAAATGCAGAGTCATTTCAGGAAGAAAAAACTACTTGAATTTGTTTCATTCCCAGCTTTTTCATGATTTTCTTTGAACAAATAAAAAAGGGAGTGCAAACATTCAGTAAAGTCTCGGTTCTGAAAGGCACTTTTTCCATGCACAGCTCAAGCCAAGTTATAGGGGCTCAGCAAATACAAAGGATTTCCACCTGTGACTGAGGTTTGATTTTTTTTCTTGTATTCTTGAAATTACAGCTATCTTTAGCAAACAATTCTAGTTTTTACTATGCCAGTGAGACACTCACATCTGATGTTTTTACATGGACCATGGGTAAGATGCTATCTTTAGGCAAGTAAATACCAATGGTCTGTTTTGTGGCATATCAGATTGTGAAAGCTGGTTTAGATTTTGGCACAGCTTATAGCAAGTGAGGAGTCTGTTCCTGCTTGTGCTGCACAGGCTCTCTCATGTAGCTGGGATCATCCTAGACTGGCTTTCTGCCGCATCCAGTATGTCCAGTACCACTGACTGCTACCTGCTCAGTCCTTAGCTAGAAGTTGTTTTTACTGCATGGGGTGAATTCCTCCTGGGGGTTATAATATGCAGCCCCTTGAATAAGAATAGCCAGTGCAAGAGGACCTTAAGGGACATGTGAATCTCTCTTTTCTCCTACATAGCCACTAATAGAGCTGGGCAATTCTGTGTTTTCCCTATGACAAGGATGTTGTAGGACTTTGACCTGCTGGACTGGCTGACCTTCACTCAGGGAGCATGTCTGCATCAACTTGCAACCAACTTGCAACTCTTCAAGGCTACTAGGACACAATCCACAGAACATCTTGGTAAGTGCCTCAAAACCTGCTTCTGCCTAAGAAAAATGTTACTATTAATACAGTATATTTCTTAATATAAGCAGCTGGTTTCCATGTTCTTTTGTGCTTGCTTGCAGGTTGCCCTAGGGATTTGAGTGTAAAGCTACCAGCCCCTTGTTTTGGCCCACTGGCAAGTCTTTGACTTGCTCAAGTCTTGAACTGCATTAAAAATACTAGCAGTGACATTTGAACTGGATTGTGAACATTAGCAGATGTTTTTAATCATAATTGTTTATGAGAGTACACTGCATTGTGCGTTACTCACTGGCTAAGCTGAAGCTGGCTGAAATGCAGAGTGGAGAGTTAATATTCAGTTTACTACATATAAACTTTAGTAAGCTCTCTGGACCCCTGTGGTTACACAGCAGACATTTCTTGGGCTTTGTTGTTTCTTTTCTTTTTTTTTTTCTCGCCAGTGCAGCAAAATCCATGAAGTCCCAGCTCACGCAGACATTTCTGTCAGAATTTTGGCTTGAGATGGGAAAAAATGGGAAGGTCTAGCTTTGATGCTTACACGGAAAGTTCGAAAAGGGAATTTCTGAAAGGGCTCCATCACATACAGACTTTTTTATTTTTTAAATATGCTCTTTTTTAAGGCAGTGGAGACACTGACACGCAGTTGCCTAAACATCCACAATACTGACAAAATGCAGCCCAAAAGCGTCACACTTTGAGCACCCCACTCTTCAAGTAGACATGGTTGTTTTTAAAAGTAGGAACATGACGAATATGAACAGCTATTGTGCTAACTGCTGTAACTGCAAGTTGAGCAATTGGAAAATTGTCATTAAATTAATGTCTTGCAGAAAATGTTATTCTGGTAGAACTTATTTCTCATACTGATTTCCAAGAAACATCACAAATGCTTGTTTTGCTATTTCATTTTGTAAAGAAAAGATTTCATTTCAGAATTAAAATATCATTTTGATATTTATGATTTTTTAAACCTCACTAATATTTCACTGTAATTTCAAATTAGAATACTTCATAGGATAGTGCTTTTACAGCTACTGCTGTGCAATGATATATAACAATTTCAATAACAAATAGTTTTCTTCTCAGTTTTCCAGATACAGTAGCATTATACCTTAAAGAGCTGCTTCTTCAAAATATGAACAGCAACATATTAGATTGTTTCCTTATAACACTAGTAAGAAATTTCATTTGACTGAGGAAATAAAACATTATTTTCTTGAATTAAACATTGAATATTTGCATAGACTATTACTAAAATCGAACATTCTGCTTGTATGTTGTGATCCTATCAGATAAGGTCTCATGCCAAATAATAGACACACAAAGTGCACTGAGTTCGTAAAGTCAGGTTAAAATTAAAAATATAAAACTAGGAAAGATCAAAAATTGAATGACATTTTCAAAATTAATTTCATGGCAATTTTTGTTGGGTGGAAAATTTTAAAATATTTCATTTTGCTTCGAACTGAGATAGAAACTAGGTTTCATAAAAATCAAATGCCTCAAAAAACATTTCAAATTCTGACCATTCCTAACCAGAAGGATTGTCTTTATTTACTCAACAACAGCTAATAGATATTAGGTAATATGGTACTTTTAGCATGGAAGATTTTTGCTTTATATTAATTATGTACAATCACAACAAATTAGTTGAGAGTTTCTCCTACAGACCGTTCCTGAGAGATGTCTTGCTACCCTCCTGGAATTAGGTTACACATTACAGACAATCATTAGGTAATAAAGTCTCTTTATTCATTGCAAATTTTTGTGGCAAAAATGTAATTTTTCTTTGTTCTATTAGAATAGTTTTGAGTAAGAAGGTCTTCTTCCACTGAATATGGAATCACACTTTAACAATTAAACAACCGAATCCTTCATGCTTTTCTTATACCCAGAGACTCAAAAAGATAGACGTAGCTAGCAAGATACTTTATAAAACGTACCTTTTAATACTGAATTGTAGAACTGCACCAATGTTTCAGCTTTTGGGGATTTCTGCAATAGCAAATTTAGAAGGTTAGCTGACCAGCCTTGGGCAAGCCAGTGGAACAGTGAACTCAGAAAGTTCAGAAAGTTTCAACTCAGTTGAAAGAGAACTGGAGGAAAACCTGCAACCTTCATTCTCATTGCCTGACTCTCCAGAATGCTCCAAAAAAGAAGAAGAAATTCCAGCAAAAAATCGTTTTCCTTAGGAGGGCAAATGAAACTGCAAAGACAGATGAACATGTATTTTCTTGACGTTACTTGTTCTGGGACGTTAGATTTGTTTAATAGCTCACAAACATATTGTTTCAAGACTGCTATAAAACTCTTAAAAGCATTGCACTGTTGGAAAGAATAAAGCTCTTGAAAGACATCAGCAAAAAGGAAGAGTCACAACAGGATGGAGGCTGTTAAATCAAACTTTCAGGCTTATGAAGTCACTTGTGCCCCAAGTGCAATGGGAATCAGAGAGACAAACCTGAGGAAAGAACAGCTGGAAAAGGCTGATGGAAGCTTTAAAGAATTAGAAAAGTTCTGCAGAGCAGCAGCGACAGTCTTTACTGCTAAGGCCAGCCCTCAGGAATTCCAGATCCTGGAGACAAGAGAGAGTCCAGAGAAAGGAAGGCTTTCCCTTGGTTGAGGAGGATTGGGTTAGAGATCATTTAGGCAAACCTGACATTCACAGACTCATGGGCCCTGATGGGATGCACCCACGAGTGCTGAGGGAGCTGGAGGATGTTATTGCTAGGCTGATCTCCATCCTCTTTGAAAGGTCATGGCAATCAGGAGAGGTGCCTGAGGCCTGGAAGAAAGCCAATGTCACCCCAGCCTTCAAAAAGGGCAAGAAGGAGGAGCCAGGGCACTACAGGCCAGTCAGCCTCACCTCCATCCCTGGAAAGGTGATGCAACAGCTCATCCTGGAGGCCATCTCTAAGCACGTGGAGGACAAGAAGGTGACCAGGAGTAGTCAGCAAGAATTCACCAAGGGGAAATCATGCTTAACCGGTCTGCTAGCCTTCTATGGTGGGATGACTGGCTAGGTAGATGAGGGGAGAGCAATGGCTGTTGTCGACCTGGACTTCAGTAAGGCTTTTGACACTGTCTCCCATCACATCCTCATAGGTAAGCTCAGGAAGTGTGGGTTAGGTGAGCGGACAGTGAGGTGGCTTGAGAACTGGGTGAATGGCAGGGCTCAGAAGGTTGTGGTCAGCGGCGCAGTCTAGTGGAGGCCTATAGCTAGCGGTGTCCCCCAGGGGTCAGCACTGGGTCCAGTCTTGTTCAACATAGTCATCGATGACCTGGATGAAGTTTGCTGATGCTACAAAACTGGGAGGAGTGGCTGATACACCAGAAGGTTGTGCTGCCTTCAGAGGGACCAGGACAGGCTGGAGAGCACCTGGAGTACTGTGTCCAATTCTGGGCTCCCTAATACAATAGAGACATGGAGCTCCTGGAGCAAGTCCAGTGAAGGGCTACTAAGATGATGAAGGCACTAGAGCCTCTCTCATGAGGAATGGCTGAGGGAGCTGGGCCTGTGTAGCTTGGAGGAGAGAAGACTGAGAGGGGATGTCATCAATCCCTACAAATATCTGAAGGGAGGGTGTCAAGAGGATGAGGCCAGACTATTTTCAGCGGTGCCCAGTGACAGGGTGAGAGGCAATGGGCACAAACTAAAACACAGGAAGTCTCATCTGCACATGAGGAGAGACTTCTTGACTGTGAGGGTGACAGAGCACTGGAACAGGTTGCCCAGAGAGGTTGTGGAGTCTCCTTCCTTGGAGATATTCAAAACCCGTCTGGATGCGATCCTGTGCAACATGCTCTAGATGACCCTGCTTATAGCATCATAAATGGGAAGAACCCATACAGAATTGGAGTGGGTCCCAGTGGAAAATATATAGTATGAGGAGAAGAGCACAATGAAGCTTATCACCAGCATTGTCTTCCGCTTCACCACATGCTGCACTGGAGAGGACATGCAGAGGAAGACACTCATGTGGGGACCCCTTTGCTTCTCTTCCCAGCTGGCCACTGGGAAGAGAAGCAAAGGGGTCCCCAGATGAGCATCTGGTTGCTGGGAAGGGTATTCTCTTTCTCTCTCTGATTTTTTTTCCCCCCCAAAAGTACATTTCACCATTAGAGTCATCAGTCATGGATCATGCTAATAAGCTTTGTGCTTATAAGCATATCTCAGCTTCCTCTGTGCAACACTGGGAAGATTATTTTTATTGTAAGGGCTCATGAGCCAGATTTAGAGACAAAACTAGTTCTAGCTTGACTAAATTGTTCATGTTATAGAGGAAGAACCCACAAAGACAGAAAGAAAAAGAAAAAAAAAAGAAAAGAATTAAAAAAACTAAAATTGCAGATAAACTGCTATATGGACACAATAATGGAAAAGTCAAATTCATAGGAATTAGTCGAATGTCACAAAGAATAAAATGAAAGTGTTGATAGTTTTCTGGCAAACCAAATTATTAAAATGCATGAGAAAAGGAATCTGATTTTAAAGACATGACATTAAAAGCTATGCACATTTGAGCGATCTTCTGGAAAATAGAGTAAAAAGAATGAAACTGTAAAAGTGAATGTGAATAGAATGCAAAAAGAATCTGAATGAGATCCCAGTTTGGTAGTACCTCATTACATGTTAATCCCAAATAGCTTCTAGAAGCTGATTCTCTCTCCTGCTGAGATGTTATCACTCTAATAAATACCATAAAGAATGAAGCCATAACTACAGAAAGGTATAACATGAGTTAAAACCTTTCAGCTGCATAACAAGGCATGTCTGTATAACGTCATCCCTGAGCGTAAAAAGCCACCATCTCCTCCATAGTTGCTCCTTAATTGTGTTTGCCACAACAAGGCAGATTTATAGAAAGAACAGGAGGAACTGAAAAGGATGGAAAGTGAGTCGTCAGGTTTTGAAACATAAGAAGGTGGTATCCAGCAGAAGCAATGGGAAGAGCTGAGCAGAACAGCTCTGAGTTGAGGAAGTCCAACTCAGA